AAACAACAAACAACAAACAACAAAACAAATCGACAAATCAACAAACAAACAAACAACACAAACAAAACAAACAAACAAACAAACAAACAAACAAACAAACAAACAAACAAACAAACAAACACACAAACAAACAAACAAACAAACAAACAAACAAACAAACAAACAAACAACTTCTTTTAACAAAATAAGAGGAGGAAACAATGTGTGTACGGAGACCGGCGGTCTTGGAATGCCCTGCTCATCACCAACCTTATGCCAGGCGCGGCTCGATCGCTATTCCCCAAAGGTCGAGCATTGGCTTAAGCATTTGAGCCATGGTCAAGCTGGCTGGTGGGTAACTGGAAGTCATCCTACATTGGATTGTGGACAGTTGTGGATCTTTTTGGCGGGTGTCGGGGCGTCTTCAAGTGACCCGAAACAGGCCAAGTCATAAATCCTGGTAGGGAGGAGAGCAACAATCAAAAGCAAATCCCCTCCCTTGCCGGTTGCTGGGCCCTTGGCCCTCGAAAAACTGCTCGGCCAGCAGCTCAGCCTGAAATCTGCCAAGGGCTATCGCCAGGGATCAACAAACAAGGGTGAACTATTGCAGCGCCATTCGCTTGCACCTTGTGATGTGAGTGTTGGGCAAGCTTGGGGCTGATGCTTCAAGCTGAGATCGGGTTTGGACCAAGCTGGGAAATCACAGTTGACAATTCTGTTGTCGGTTGGTGTTTGCCCGCGTTGACCGGGCTGCAGAGGGTCAAATTCTGCACTAGCGTCATGTGTGGCTCTGAGGCCACTCAGACCCGAGGAAATGGTTGGGAGCCCGAACCTTGGTAGCTCTATGATGCTCTATGACATGTAGCTTCAGCAAGTCCTCTACTAGGAGAGGACAGAGGAAAGATTTTGCAAGACTGGGATGTAGGATGCTTGTGGCCCTTGGGCCCAGCGCTGGTACCAAACACTTCGGGGGTGGAATGAGACAATAAAGCAGGAAACTCCGAAAGGACGCCTTCAAACAGAACGCGGCCATGATAGCAAACCAGCAACTCTGCCGGGGAATTTCAGCTCGCTCAGTCAATTCAGCACTACATCCAGGCACCCATCCAATGGTCCCTTGCAGCTTCCATACCTCGCACAACATATTGCTGTTTATTCTGCCCCTTGCCGCAACAAGCGCGCAAGTGCTATCTCGCCTCTTCGCCCGGCTGGACAATGGTGAGGCAGAGTACAGACGGACCTGCCATGTTGACTTGGCTACACAAAGCGCGGCCAAGTTCACCATTGGTGCTGTCTGCCAATCCCTCGACACTCTTGTCGACCAGCTGTACACTCCGCTCAGACTTGCATGGAAGCTGACAGGAGGGGGTTGGAAGTTTTCTTTCTTTTTGGGGAACCCCTCTGTCCACTTCCATGTTTGTTGGTGGGAGGGTAGTCATGATGAATGATGCATCAAAATGCATCACGTGCCACAACAGCGAGCTTCCTCTGAAAGCTGGCAGATTAAAGAATCGCTTTAATCCTGTGCAATGGGGTTGCCATGTCGGGAATCCTCCAGATAGCGGAATTTCGATTTGGGACCCTTCGGTGTGAGCATAATTACATGGGGATTTATGTCAACCAACGATGTGAAAGGACTCCCCATCAAGATATCATGCCTTTTAAAGGCGTCCTCTGTCTTGTGCTTCCCGCAAGTTCCACTTGAGCAAGGCACCATGTCCCGTAAATGCCGCAGCCACCTGAGTCGCGCGAGGCCGTCCGTTCAAAACTGGCCGTCACCATCATCATGGCCGTCACCATCAGCATGGCACTCGCTTGAATGCTTGTTTTTTTTTTTTTTTTTTTTTTTTTCTGGTGGCAGCCACCCAGTATGGGCAATTTTCAATCATTCACAAGCTGCAGTCTAGCAATCGAGTCACGAGCAGAACCTCTTACAGAAGTCTCTCCAACAGCCACGGTAAAGAATGTCTCCAGCGTCATTTACTTGAGTTTTGAGTGCAGCTCCCTGATGGATTTGAAGAAACCAACAAAGCCACCGCGGCCGTCCGCATCCAATCAAAATGTACGAGTGTTGAAGAGTCTGAGGGCATCACAGTGGCCAGTGCTGCCAGCCACAGCATTTGAGCTGAAGGGACCTGCCAGAATGCAAGTCGTAAACCTCAAGTGACAATCAATCCAGGAATGACCTTCAAGCCATGGCAAGGTGCCCAGTCTTTGGGGCACACGTGAACATGAGCTGATGAGAAGCACTGTGGGCAATGGGGCAAGGCTCTCAATACTGCAACAGGCATTGCCCACACAAACCTACTAATGTTGCACATTCTACTGCTGGACTAGTGTCAGTCTACCAGCTGTTGCCTTCAGCCTAAACGGCGAAATGGCCAAAGCGCATTGACGGGCAACCTCAATACTGAGTCAAGATGCAACTCTGCACAAGCGTTGCGGCACTGAAAGCACACACACGAAAGCAATACTGTACTCCTCCTGTTTGCTTGAACAGATGGTGCTTCATCAACCTTGATCATTGGACAATCGAATCCATACAGAAAGTGCCCAAGCTCGCAAAACGGTGGCTGGTCGTGCACTGCGGCAAAAATAGAGCAGGGCACTTTCAAGTGGCACCGACTTCTGTTCGCAGCAGACATCCCAAAGTCTGCCGGAGCTCCATCGGTGTGGACACGTGCCGAGAGGCGGAGGGGCGAATGGCTGACAAAACAGCTTGCAGGCCCTCCAACCGCTACAAGCGCTGCCAAGCTTAACAAAAGATGCTGACACGCCCAAAGGCATGGCCCAATCAGCCATCTCAGCCCATTCGCTGCACCGTGTTGCCCATGCCAAAGCCAACCTCAGCGATAGTGCTCTGTGCTCTTGTTTGCAGCATAATTACAAACACAGCTGACATGTAACAAGAATTCACTTGGTCTACTCTGGGAAAGTGAGAGTATGGCAAGCACATAGAGTCCACTTCTCCGTGCTGGTCATTGTTCTTATGCTCGCTCCCAGTGCGGATCCACGAGAACCTAAAGGACCAGGTTGCGAACATTGGTCAGGCTTCTGCTTCTGGCCAATGCGATGGGACATGGTGGAATAACATTTTGCCCAGTCGCTCTGGGGCTGAACATGCAGAGCACCTTGTTTCCGGTAATTCGGAAAAGAACCCAGAAGGAAGCGTCCTTCAAAGCCGACCCCTTTCGGATGAGATAGAACAGAGCGAAAAGCTGCATTGTTGCCGCACAACCCTGAACAGCTGCACCAGCACCCTAAAGCAGCACCTGCACCAGCACCCCCATGCCCCCTGAATATGCCAAATCTCAAAAGCTCGTGTCACCAAATAAGGTCGTACCAACACTGCTAACACGTGCATGACCTCGCTCGCTGGAACCTGATTCTGGAGTTGTCAAACAAGACCTAACACTCAGCCTAATGCGGACAAAGCGTGCGTCTTGTTGCAGGCTGCCTTCTTTAGGCAGGTACACCGGGAATTCACGCATTTTGGTTTCAACCGATTTAGGTCCCCTGACTGCCAAACATGTCTGCTAATTGGCTCAGCCCAGCACGCCCAGTGAAGCGCTTCGCTGCGGCATCGAGGTCGGCCCCATGGATCCTGCGCCGGGAAAAGGGAGCCAAACCTAAAGGCCACCGCCAGAAAACGAGGATCTACCCCCAAGCATTTTGTCGTACACCTCCAAAAGGCAACACATCACTCGCTGCCTGGGGATGTCATCATCATCATCCCAGGTCGCATGGTGGCCTCACTGCTGAGCAATTGCAATTCCCTTTGCCAACCCGAATGTGTGGCTCAACTGGCATCAAGCTCCTCTGTGGCAACAGCATGCTCATTCTCTTCCCCAGCTGCTACTCTTAACAGGATATAATTGTCAGGTCTGCTTGAATCACACGCCGGTCGCAGTTGTTCGATCTTGATTGAACTGCAGTCCCCTGTCAGTCCACTTCTACCGGTGCCTGCAAGCCAGACGTCGAGGCGTACATCGGGGCCTGGCGTGGCAACTTTGTGAGCCAATCGCCTGAGGTTACAACAATTAGAGGCATAAGAAGTTGTCGCGCGGTGTTGAGCTTTGCTCTTGGTCCTGACTTTAGGCCCTTGCGCCGCTCCGTACAATGCGGTGCTGTATCATGTGCAGTTGATAGTAGGGCTTTGCTTTGAGCTTGCCAACAACGAAGACCGTGTCAAAGTTTGGTATTTAGGGATCATGCTTTGTGGATTCAAGAGAGGCCTCGTCGCGTTGCTTGGCTGGCATTCTTCAAAGCTGGCCACCGTTCGTCTCGAGCAATGTGTAACGCAATCAGCAGTAGGCCGCATACTTCTTGCGTGAGCGCAGCTTCAGCATGCGTTCGCTTTTATCAGCACCGTCGTAGTGTAGGTGCCAGCATGAATCAATGGTGGTTGGTCAGAAATAGGGCCCCTTTTTGAACCCTGGCGCCGACTTGTGCCGCCATGTAAAGGGGTTGCCAATTTTGACAACCCCTGTCGTGACCTACCAGTCAATCCCAAGAAGGGCGCTTTCAACCCACCTGCTGCATGGGAGCGGCAACGAAGCTGGGGCCTTAGCAAAACCAAATGCTGAAACGCAAGCCCTCCTTGTTCTGGGTAGATCTGCAACCCGTTGTCAAAATATGGACTTCGAACCCCTAAACACTACGGGCTGGGTTGCCCTTCGAGGCCTGATCACTCGGGCGACACGGCTCTGGCCAACTGTATCTGCCCACTCTCCAAGTCATCCACAAAGTGGTAGGTTTGAGGTAAGGCACGCCCCGATGACTGACTTTGATGAACCCGCGAAGCAGTCAACACACTGGGCCTACGTGCTCGTTTTGTTAGAGTGGGCCCCTTTGGAAGTTGGTGGTTCCTTAAGCTTCCCACCAGCAAAAATGACCCTCAATACTAGATTAAACAATGTTGAAACCTGAAATCATCACTTTATGCTAAACTTGCCTCTATCAAGTTTCGCGCAACATTGGCAGATCAAATTCGCTGCTTGCACGGTTGGCACCAGTGGCAAGGGGTGATAGGCACCATGGACTACAGTTTGTGTTGAATCGTTCGATCTTGACGACTCCACAATAAGTTGGCGACGGCATATCGTCCCTTCCGACAACGTGCTCACGTGCTCCATTGAACCATACAAACACTATGTTGCACCCATGCTGTAGCTACACAAGCCATATGCATGTTGTAGCAACAGCATGTTAGGCCGACAAGCGGGCCCCAGCGACCCGCTCTTGTGGCCCAAACGCATGCTCCAGCTGCGTCCAGGTGCCATGAAGCAAACTCCCACCCCTCCGTTTCACCTAGCCGCAGGCCCTTGCCCTTGAACCTCGCTACAGCCGGTCCACGCATGTGACAACGCGGCTGTAGATGTGGCCGTCGGAAAGTCACCTCCGCCCCCTGGCCCTTGGACTACTGCTGCGTCTGTCCTTCAGTGCCAAGCGGATACTTTCATGCAGCTGATACTTTCACGCAGTACACAGAACGCTCTAGCGAAGACATAGTTTTGAATAACTTATGTCATGATCATGTGTGTTATAATGATCAGTTTGGCTTGAGTTTCAGTGAAGTATGCCAATGGCAGCAAGGTGTCGGCAGCGCCGGACATAACAGTTGATGTGGTCGTTTTGGAGAAAGCATCAAAGTAAATCATTCACAGTATATGGTGTAGTGATGGTGGCAGCAGCCATCCCCGACACAACTGCAACTTCAACATGTATGATTAACTGAACATATTGCAACATGTGGCAATCATTCTTCAACATTGAGCACGTGTTACACAACATTCCTCTTGGATCCATGCACCCCAACACCAAAAACTAAACACGCCAGAAAGCCAACACCAACAATCATAAATATAGCTTTTCATTAACACGCTGGGGATCCCAGCCGTAGTGGAGGTCAGGATGGAGTTTGTTAGTTTTGTGTTTGCGCTTGTTTTTGTTTGCTTCAAGTATTGCGCAAAATCTGCTTGCAACTCTCCCCCTGACCAATGGATCAATGGACCGCAAAACACACAGGACAACACAACACGTTGCAGCCACGATGGGTCAGGATAGGCTTTTGCTTTTTGGGTCCAGGAACACAACTGCCCAACATTCGCAAACCCAGCGCTTGGATAGATGCCGGCTCTTGGACCGGATCTCAGGGTCTTGCGATATCCCGGCGCTGCCACGAAGCTGGGGTGAGCGATCTGGCGCGCAAATGATGCCAAGGCTTTGCTCAGTGATCAAAGTGAAAGTTCAAGAAAGGATCACCATTTCCAGTTGTCTTTCTTAACTAACACAGTGTCCCCTCAAAGTGCCAGAATAATCACTTCCTCATTCCTTGAAGCCAGCGTCGCATCGACCGACTTGCCTGCATCTGTGCTGGAACCGCCGGACGGATCTGCGAAGGGACATACCTTGGCAGCTTGGAGAGCTTGTTGTTCGCCCAAGCGGCATGAACCTTCTCCGGTCTTTGATGTCAAACTGCTCTTACACTCTGAAGCGAACCAACAAACGGGCAAGAAATGGCAATCCCCCCACTGCGTCTCCAGAAAGCAATGGGTGAGAGTAGGCTAAACACTCAAACATTTGCTTGTTTGAGAGGTTGCGGCAAATGATAGCGACCCATCCCAACTTCTCAGGATGCAGCATTGACTGCGCTTGTGGCTGCGTCATTCCCGGCTGCGTCATTCCCGGCTGTGGCATTCCCGGCTGTGGCATTCCCGGCTGCGTCATTCCTGCCTTCCAGTCCATGCACCTCTCTCTCTCTCTCTCTCTCTCTCTCTCTCTCTCATGTCTCTAACCCTTACACCACACAAACCTGTGCCGGTGGATCTGTTCGAAGACTCAGCAATCCCCAAGTGAGGTTGTAAGCAGCCCGAAACGGGCCCGACCCGAATAAAAGTTGCCTTATGTGTCTGTCTCTGTGTGTGTGTGTGTTTGCAAAGAACTTCGATTTAGGCCAATGGCAACAGCAACCTGCTGCTATGTTCGATAGCAAAAGTGCGTGTTTCGATTGCCTGTGGACTGAAAGCCCCGGGGATCCCACATAACACTCCCTTTCGGAAACGTCTACCTCGGGGTAATTAAACCAAAAACTGTCAAACATTGGGTTCCTCGTGTTTTCCCTTCATTAGAAGCTTGAAAGAGTGCCCTCAAAAGCCACATTCCTTGCCTCGCCTGCGGCATGGGTGCCGCCACAAAGCTGGGTGGGCGATTCACCTGGTCTGGCAGTGCGGTAGCTGCATAGCTCAAAGCCAGTCGACTCGCGGTGCGACGGATGCCAGAGATGTTACACGTGTCCAGGAACTCAAGCCCAACTTTGCTGGGGATGCGATTTAGACAAGAGGATATGATGGGAAAACACAGCTTCTTGCGGGAAGGCTCTTTGAAAGTAGGGACCTTGTAATTTCTTCAATTTACAGGCGGTTGTTGGTTGGATGTGGTTGGTTCATCTGTGATAGGGAAGCCACCGTGCTGGTTCACCACGATTGCAAAAAAGTAAAGTTACCCTGACTTCATCCTGAAATAATCAAAGGAGAACCCTTACTCACATGATCAACAAGGGTTTTGGGCACTGCTCAAATGAGTTTGCCCCTCTACAATGCCGGCACAGGTGCTGCCCCTGGAGGGCGGAAGCTCTTCCTTCATAATAGCGATCATCAGAACGGATGAAACAATAGCCCTTCTCTTCCTTACTTTCAAAAATGCCCATCTGGGACCAAAAACAACTGTTCCTTGTAAGGAGGCATGGTCAGTAGCACCAGCGTCAAACCATCGAAGCCCAGTTCGCCAGGTCAACAAACAGTGATTTTGGGCCTTGCCATTTTGGGACAACTTGCCATAAACCAATTCTGATTGGTTGCTTCCAGCGCCATGCTAGTGAACATCCAGTGCCACTCCAGTGGCTTTTCTAGTTCCATGGTCGGTCCAGTGCCGCTCCAGCGAAAATCCAGGCCAGGCAAAAGGACATGTCATTGGAAGGTTTAAGCGGGACTAGGCTGATTTGCGCTGGAAGCAAGCAAGAGACCAAACACGTGACACCCCGATTCGTCAACCGAGTGATTCATCCTGGGTCAAAGTTGAAACGACCTGAACAAGGGTACCCCCAAACGACACTACTCTTCAAAATGGCAACACGCAAACACACAGACACAGACATATCCATGTTTTGGCCAGTGCCCTTCAGAGATCCGCAAAGTCGCCTGTGGCACCTGTGGCGCCTGTGGCGCCGCCACGAAGCTGGGACGATTCACCTGGCTCTTGACCCCACAAAAAAGGGCGCCAAGACGAGTAGTCCAAAGAAATTCGAGGCCAAGACCACAAGGGCTTGGGCGAATCTTAGGGCATGAAAGCTGCCCTCCTTTTCCCTTTTGGTAACTGTTTGCTTGCAAGGGTACAGGCAAAACTGGTCTTCGAACAACCGAGGGACAGGGCAAAGAAAACCCCAAGCCAAGCCACTTCGAAGAACCCAGCTCGGAGCTTCTCAAAATGATGACCCTGTTGCAGTTGGTATTTCAAGGGAAACCACAAGGAAACCAACCATTGAAGGGGGACCCCTATTCGTGTATGGATTTGGGGGAGTCTTTGGTGGACATGGTGGGGAGTCAATGGGAGTCGTGTCCACTTTTGAGGTGGTTACCTGTTATATAGATCCAATTGACACATTGCCAGCTCGGGTACCAACTCCGAGCTTCCCGCAGGAGTCACACGAGCAGCGCCAACCGGCGAGGGCTGCATGACCTGTGTCAAGCCAACCCCAACGGGGCATCCCTCAAACAGCAATATGCCCATATGTGTACTCATACATATTATATAATATCATATATAGTTATCACCTCTCATGGATTTAAGATGCACTTTGCATGGAAGATCTGTTGTCGGTGGAAAATTAGTGGCTTCGTCAAAATGAGTGCTTCTCCCCATGACTGTGAAATGGGAGGGCTAATTTTGGGGCCCACGTTCAGAGCCACTGCCAACTATTGCCCTTCCTTTGATGCCCCTGAATTTGATGTCCCATCCCGTCCAGCACTGCAGAATTTGAGCAGGGGTCTGTTTGCTGGTTCTCGTCAAACTCTCATGGATCCTACCGGGCTGAGTGAAGCAACGTCTACCGTGCGGCAACGTGAATGAATTCCTAATTCAGTAAGCTTCTCAGGTGGCAGAACGATTGTACTGTTCTTCTTGGTGCAGAATGGGACCCATGCCTGTCTTGGATTTACCTGTGCTGATGTCCGCTCAAGAGTAGCCCAAAGAGAAAAAGGGCCCCAACGGGAATTCGATGTACGCTGCGTTCCGACTTCTAACTGCCCGTGTCTGGGGCATCCGCCATCGGCTGTGAGGGAATGGAAGCCGACCGCATGGTGGGCATCACAAACGGAGCGGCAGGCCTGGCGTTGTGCAAGATGGAGCTACCGGCTGCCCTTGGCTTTTCTCGGAGGCTTCCCGCCCCTTTGCTACGCAGCCTCGCCAAAAGGAGAAACACAAGCCGAATGCTTCGAGCCCTGGGACAGCGCAGAATCCAGAAGCAACTCCTGTCAGAAGCACACCCTTCAGCAGCTTGTACTGCTTTAGCCTGCTAGTCTCATAGCAGTACGGAAGCACCCGAATAGATATGAGCGCTTGGCAGCAGCTTGTACTGCTTAAGCTCGCTGGTCTTGTGCAGTGCGGGGGAGGCAAGGAGGCGAGGCACATGGCATGCAGAAAACATGTGCTTTGTGTGCCTTTTCTGTGCCCTCCCTTTTTTCCCTGAAAGAAAGAGACGGAATCATCCAGTGTTTCGAATTCCAGACGTGCTAATCACCCTCGAAGCATGCCCGCCCGCGCCTGGGCATCGCCTGAAGTGGTTGCGATGCAAAGACGACTGGTGGCAGGGGCACAGTTCCCACAAAGTTCCAAGGAACGCCACGACAAAACTGAGCCTTCTGACAGGCACCCAAAGGAAACAGACATCAAGTTTAGCCCACGTCTGGTGAATTCATAGATTGCCTCCGCCAATTTCTTTCAAGCCCGTGCTACCTCCCGTTTGATAAGCTCGCTACAAGTGTAGACGCTCTCGTTGCACAGCTTCTTTTTCTGCACAGCACCAGATGGGGCCCTGACAGCGTAGGGCATTGCCTCTGGCGCTAAAGGCATGCGAAAATGAACCCAACAAGGCCAATCAAAGGCTAAGGCAGCAAAATGTTCCATGATTCCATGGCAACTATGAACACACAAGCATGCTTGACCGTCTCCGAATTCAGCCCCCATCCAGTTCCAGTCTCGTTAGGAAACATATGGATTTTATCACAACCTTCGTGGATGATGTATACTTTCCACCTGTAGTATCATAGTGACATGGACTTTACCTGGAGTCTCCCTTGGCAAACATACTCTGAGGAAGCCTAGGGGCAGGCCATCGGACTGGTTATGGCAAGTGAATCTGGAAAACCTAATGAGCGCCCTTTCTGTGATAGAGTGGTTGATTCCCATGCCCAAGACTTTCATCACAGCAAGTGACCACTCACAGGAAGTGGTTGCTCACCGGAAGTGGCAACCTAGCACAAGCAATTATCTACAAACTGGTCAAAATCATTCTCACCCCCCCCCTCCCCCCCAAAGTAAAACACAATAAAGGTCTCACGAATAATAGAACATGCTGTTCCAGACCTCTAAATCTCTGATGACTAAGTGAGCATGCACCAATACAACATAACTAGCAACACGTCCCAACAGGTCCAAACCCAGTCGTATTACGCGGCCCCATGTTTGTTGCTTTCTGGAAGGTGTTTCGTTGTTGGGGTCGACCTCCCTACATTTTGAAGCACCCAGTTCATCACTCCCAGAATCGGGGGCCCCATTTCAACACAAAAACCGTTTTTGTAAGGGGGAGGGATTGGCTTGCTGCTTGTTCTAGATTGCCCTAAACCAAAAAAGAGCAGAGAAACCCTTTTCACTACTCGGTTGCTTTCTGCTCCCCTGCTAAAAGTTTAACTTTTAGTTTTAGTTTTAGTGGTTTAATGGAAAACCCATTTGTTGGCAAAAAGTTAAAGTCCTAACATCCAAGCGAAATGCACCAAAGACTAGGTCTCGAAGGAATTTTGCGGAAAGCGAGGCCCGAGCCGGTGCAAGCTGCGGCTGCGGCTTGACACCATTCAGCGCCGGCGCGGCGGCCTCTGAAGCCAAACTCCCATACTTGGACCCATTCATGGAAAATCGTGGATTCCGAGTTGCTGCCCTTAAAAAAAAGTCCTTATGGCAAGTGCGTCCTTTTGGCGTGTCTAAATCCAACCAACAAAGGATCTTCTCTTGTTGTGACACATCATATTATGGTTGTTTGAGCTCCCTTGCTGATATTATGGTCTTCAGAGGAAAGCTCCCAAACGATCTCAGAACAAATGGAGCTGCATAGGACCAGAGGACACGTGATGCTGGAGCAAGCACCGCAAAATCAGCCTGCTTACCATCCCATCCACTAGCATGGAACGTCACGGGGGGGAGGGGGGTATACAAGGACCCCGTGATGGGTTGCATGATAGTGGACGGCAGGGTAACACCAGCAGCGGCAGCACACAGATGCAAACTGCCGCTCTCGCTCTCATACTGGGTGCCGCGCTTTCTCTACTTTCGCTGGCTCCTCCTTAAGGTCTTCCAACATGGAAATTGTCCGAACCCAAACCTGAACGGTGTCCTTCACCATCCCCCCGTGTTTTTGTTGGGTATCTTCTATGTGAGGTTTTATTGAACCTCCCCTAGTCCGGACATGGTGACTATGCACAACATTTGGACCACTGCAAACGGCCCTCCTCCTCAGGCTCGTCCGGAGAGTTCTCCCAAGGACCTGAACTTGCTCGTTGCTAAGGCCAGTCTGGGAATTAATTCAGAAAACATGAGCATGTCCGTTAGGCTTCTAGAAAGTTTGTCCCGCGTTCACGGCCGTTGAATGACATGCCGTTGTGTTGGCAAACGGGACTAGGCCTTTGCAAGTCAGGCTCCCGACGGAGGGCACGTGCGGTAACCGCGAGTGCCATGGGATAAACATCTCTGAGGCGCAGGCCATTGGGAATATCTGCGCGCTTGCGGATCTCCCCAAACTTGTATTCCTGTGCAGCAGGGCCATGACTTTGCCATAGAGAAGCCTCTGTTTGCACTTGCTGTGGACTTCTGACGGGCGAAAAAGACCCACAAACAAAAGGAAGACAGTCATAAGCAAACAGCCCATAGCCGGGCGGACCGCGGCTCAGGGCACTGCCTAGCCTTCAGAACCTCGCCGTTCTCGAACACATCAACCTGGCTGGCCAGCAGTCATGGGAAAATGTGGCTCACTGCTCGTGCTTCATTCATGTTCAGCCATGTTACGGCTGTTTTCCTGGTGTGTCACGAAGAGGCTTCACGTTCAAGAGGCTCTTTAGCCTGTTCTGACATGTGTCTGCTCAACTTATCTACACTACACACGCAATCTGGTTTCCTCTGGAAGGGATAAGATGTCGCAGTAGCACAAGTATGCTTAAAACGCGGCGGGGTAATAGAAACTGTCAGCATGGCAAGTGCATGCAAAGCATCCCTGTCACTGGCACAAACTTTGCAGTGAAACTGCCTTTGGCACTGATTAAACAAAATGAAACTCTGAGACCTTGGCGCGATACTAGTGCCTCCCGACTTGATCAACTTGCTGTTTGGGTGTGCCCAGGGCTTGTGGCAAGCAGCCGAATGCAGAACGAGCAAGCAAGGACACGGGGATGAAATGACCCAGTCATTCAAAAAGCAAACCATCCAAGAAGTACCAACACCATGACCAAGTATGAAGTACCAACACCATGACCAAGTATTGCCGCCTCCGCAAGCTCAGCATCTCGTATAGTGTGTGTTTGTAAACATGGTCAAAACGCATATGCAGTTTGCTTCCATGGCCCTAGGGATTTCTGGCATTTCTCATCTCTTGGACATCCTGTCTAAATGACCTTCAATCCTGTTAAGAAATTTAGGGGGAGAAACAAACAAAGAGGAATTGTCGCACGAAATCATTGGGCTGGAAGCCCCGAAGGCCTAGTCTTCATACTGGGACCCCTTTAACCAGACAATTGGGCGAATCCGGCCGTGCCCGAATGAACTTAACAAGGGCGGAGCTGCCAGCAGGTCCTTCTCTGGGTCGCCCCTCAGCGTGCGCAGAAACATCACAAGATTGATTCGTGTTTGCTCGTGGAGGCTTCAATGAAAGCGTCTCAAAGACCTGCACACAACATCCCACAGAAAAGTTCGCAGGACTGTCGCGGCATGAGAGGTTCCTTTTGCGCGCGGCTTTAACAAGGCAATCGATTTCACGTAGCTTTCGCGATAGGATTGTTTTTGCTTTCGCGAACATTGGACAACTGCAAATTCGCAGCCAAGAAGGCCCTTTCGCGACCCTTTCGCAAGTACGTAAATAATCGTAAATAACAACCCCCCTTCGCGAACCCTTTCGCGGCCTAGGAAAAAGCAGCATTTTGAAAGCGAGATTTCCTCAGGAATCATAGAAGCGCCCTTCCGTTTGGATCCCACGGAACTTTGAACCCTTTCATGAAAGCGTGGGTATGCTGAGATCAGCGAGGCATCCCAAGTCTACACAAACTCAATGCCTGATCGTTTTCCTCTTGGCGCAGGGCTTTCCACTTGCCACCGTCACGTACTTCCCATCCGGAGAGAAGTGCAAGTGCCCAGTCCCACCTTACAGCGCGTGAGCTGTGACCAACTTTACAAAGCAGGCTAGTGATCCAGCATTCCCCAACAAGAAGCAGCACCTTGTTCCAAATCCTGCGATTGTCTATTTACGCATAGTGCAATTGAATCTTCTGGGAGTGCAAACTGGGGGTTTGTAACAACATGCAAATGCTGCGAATGCATAGTGCTGCAACATGTGCCGTCACATCTCTGCTGACATAAAGCCAGCAATTGAATGGACATCAGCGGTGCCCGATTGCCCCTAGCCACAAGGAAGACGTTAAGCTATGATGCCAGGTTCAAGTTGACAAGGCACAATGACCAAGCCAGGCTTCGATGACCCTTAAATTCTGTGCCGTGAATGTTCTCGGCGAAAGAGATCAAAAACTGAAACTTAATTGGTTTCGAACTCAATAGGCGTTGATCCTCGCAAATTGTTCAAGTGAAGGGCCACACCATGTGCGCCAGCAAAGGAAACAGCCCCACTTTGGGGAGATCCGCAATTTAGAGACACGGCGGGATTGAGAGGGGGCAAAGCGGAACCCTTACAAACTGGTTGTTACAGATGGAAATCTCTAAGGGGTTCATAACCATCCCCAACCCTAAGCGAAGGGGCGCGATGCGCGAGCCAGTGCTGGTGCTGGGCCTCCGCGCCCTTGACGCCGTCCGGCCCCTGGCGCGGCTGGTACACATCCTCGGGGGCGTAGCTGGGGATGTCCGACCTCGCGGCCGGGGACAGGCTGAGAGAGGCCTACTGTAAGGGGTGGGGCTGGGGAGAGGACCATCCACAGCACGGAACGTGGGAAGCAAAGATGAATGTGCCTGGGTCCCTGGGTACGTTCTTCTTGTGCTTAGTTGTGTCGGGTGTTCTACTGCAATTGGTCGCGGCTGCGCTTCAATGACGTGACGGGGAAGAGGACTATGGAGATTGGACAGCTCCTAAATAAAGGGCACTGCTAAGTAGCTTCCCTGCACCAGCTTTATGGTTTTGCCCAAATGGTGTTGGGTCCGGAGAACGAATTTCACGCTAGACACAAAAACATGGGGCCCAGAATGCCCTACCTTCCTGGGCTTGAGTTGCCTGTTGTCCGCCATGGCAGCCCTTCAAAGTTTGGGCTGTGCCTTTTTCAGGTCTCAGCTCCCCGAAGATGACTGGACCTCACACCTCTTTCTTTCTTCGCACTGAAATCCTTTCCTCACCCTGTAGTGTGCCGCAGGTGGACAACAATGAGTGCTTCGCAAACAAAGCGCCGCCTTTGGGATATGTGTTGGATGAAAAGTTGGAAGCCCCACCACTGCCCACTTCTGGTAACTCCCCGTCACATTCAAAGGTTCTGGCGCCAGCTGCAGTGTGAGCCTTCCCTTCTTCGAGGCCTCCCGGGCATCGGCTGTCCGGACCGGACCGGATCAAGCTGCAAGCGGTGAATGGAGTGAAACAAGTTTGCACAGGCAATGGCCCTCCTGTAGAAACGCCGGCCAAGACGCGAACCAAGATGTTGGAGAGGCACAACCCAATGGAAACTGACTGAAACTTGCCGTTAATCGGTGATGCTTACCATGTACAAAGGAAATGCATGGACCCCCGCATCGCTCCAGTTCAACCGCCTTGCCAGCAAGGTGGGAAACAAATCAACTGTGGTGATCAGAAAAGCTCGTCGCGGCCTTGCAAAAACTGCTGCCTTGTCTGCCCCTGTTGGTCATGTCTACTCTGTTTGGTCATTCGCCAAACTCTCTTGCCTTGCCATCATCTGTCAGCGGGTCCTTGAAGACTTCCCGGGACTGGCGTGCGACAAGGGAGAACAGTGCTGTGACGGAAAGGTGGAATCTGGGTTGAATGGGCTTAATTTGATCTGAGCAGCACCCACAACCCATTTACTTTAGGTTCTACCAGCATGATTTAGAACCCTTTGGATAGGTCTGACTATGATTCTCATGAAACCAGTCGTTCTAACCCTTTGTTAAATTGGACAAAGCTCCTTTAAACGTTGCTTATTTGTTGTTTGTTCTGGGCTGGAAAGCGGGAGGAGGGGCAGGTTTTTCCTGTGGCCACAGGACCATTTCGAGTCAGAACCTGGCTCCTGGAAGCGGAATCGCCATCGTCCAGTTGAGTCTTATACAAAACACTTCAAGCCCCTGCAAAAATCAACGTGGAGGCTTTATGTAGGAAGGGGCTTGGTATAGGAAGCTTCATGTCAATTAGGAAGCAAGTGCCCACATTCTTTTGGTGATCATGTCACGTCAAGATTTGCCGTTTGATTGCCTCTCCGCCCTCCAGGATGATCTCCGCGCATTTGAAGGCAACCTTCGGGCGAGCTGGTTGCGAATTTGGCAACCATTGGCAACCCATAGGGCAAACCCAGTCGTCTTTTGGCTGCTTTATATAGGGGAGCCCGGGCTTTGAGTGATAGCCGGGACCAATAATAAAGCTCTGCTGTGTCTCCTCCTCACAGACCTGCGACCTGCTTGACTATGTGGGTTCTCGTGAACATCACAAAGGCCAGCGGGATATGTTCTCACCAACCATGTTCAGCTCGCTCCCCATTACAATTTATACACGAATGCCTCTATTGTGTCCTGGCCCAGGGCACTTTGTGTAACCATAGTAGCAGGTTAGTAGGGGGTCCTTCCAAAACAACATTAAACGCAATTGAGGTGTGCTAGAACCCTTGTGCTGCTTGATTTGGCGGTTGAATTATCATCCCTGTCGCTTTGGGCATTTGGGAATCTTCCAGGGTTTCAACAGACCTCACTTGGCAACTTGAGGTATCGTCTGGGTTGTTTCGAAGGGACACCCGAAGGGACACCAAAAAGAAACAACCCATTTCGGGTTCCACGCAAAGACAACCCCCCCCCTCCAAACGAGCCTTGAAGGTGTCACGGTTCACCTTCTGGAGCAGTGCGCCACCTGAGGCGACTTGGTTTAAACATCACTCTCAAGGAAACCGAGCCTCCCCAAAAGTGATGGATCAATCAGGGATTGAATAATCAGGAGTCAGCAAACGGCAGCTTGCTTGCCGCTTAGCCCAAGGAGCTGCTGGCTCCAAATGCGTTTCAGCCTCTTTTGGCCTTGTCAGATCTCACACGAGCCACAGGCCAACTTCTAGGGCCAGGCACCACTGCCAAAGGTGATGTTTGCGGCAGCAATGCCCTCGTCCTGCAAGGTCTACGCATGTCCAGGCCCTTCCAGCTCTCTTGCCCTTCGAGAATACCATCCTCCAGCCATCCTACAGCCATCCAACCATAAACTCGTCCCGCCGATCCAACTCTCAGCACCAACCCACTTCTTCAACTATCGGTTTCACGCATCTTCTGCTGTCTGGGCCTTGAAGCGGTTCAGGATCTTTGGAATGGATTGGTAGTCGACCTGGTGCAAAAGACACTACAGCCCAAGTCGTTGTGGAGGCTTTGGACTCCAGGCATGGCTGCATCATGTCACTCGTTGAATGGGCTCCGGACTCCGTCTCCCTGGATGACACGAATGTAAGGCGGCAGCAGCTTGTGTCCCGTCCTTGCACAAAGGGGCGCGACGCTTCTTCGCACAGATCTGGCTTTGCGCCTGAGAAGAATCCTCTGCCTTCCAACAAATAAGCCCCCAACTTTGTGACAGTCACATCTTCAGCAAACTGCTCCAGCAGAATCTTCATAATGGCAACCTCGACGGGGATACGGTTGAAGTTTGCCATGCATTGTTACAACAATGCGCCTATGGGGGAAGGAGTGGGGGTGCGGGGTTGGCGATGATCAGCACCCAACAGTGCGCGCAACTGCGCTAATACAAGGCTGTGGAAGTTGGTGAGGGCCGAGGTGGCGAGTGGGCGGAGATGGTATCACGAAATCGTGGCTGTCTGGGTAG